GTCAGTCTATAATTGCAGTTTCTCATAAACTGACCCCAGGGGAGGATTTCCTGATGATAAATGGGGTGGTGGCCTTGTGTGCCTGCCTGGTGGGGTCGGGTCACAGGGTGAGGGTGGACTAGGGTCAGTCATGTTGTTTCCTCCTTCGTGGTTGCTGTCTCCTCAAATGGCTGTTTTGATTTTAAATGAGCGAGAACACTCAGTTCACTGTCTGCGTGTTACCACCCCATCCCACATCGCCTGCAAGCCGAAGAGGTTGGGCTCCCATCTGGGGGGAGAGTGAACTTCCCCCACAGTTAAATGGGGTCAATAATTTCTTCCCTGCCTACGCACTAAACCGTTAAGGAGGATTGATAGAGGGTGGGGGCCGAAAGTCCCTGGAATATGAACTCCAGCAAGGACTCATGTTTTTTCCTTCTAATTCATTCTTTGTCTCCAAAGCCATGTCTCGCCAATGCCTTTTCCTCATATTACTGAGCTCTTAAGCATACTAAGTGTTAATTCATTCAACAGGTGTTCATGAAGTGCCCACTGTGTGCTAGGCATGGTGCCAGCTGCTGAGGATTCGACCATTCAGAGCAAACAAAATGCAATCCCTGACCTCAAATTGCCCACAGCCTGGTGAGTTGATGCCAGCAAACCCACTGCACAGAAAAATGGATGCTTTCGTGCGGAAAGTGACAGCACAAAGGGACAACCAACCCAGGACCAGTGGTGGCAGGGCCAGCTTCCAGATGAAGGTACCTGGTAAGTCGGGTAAGAGGCATGAAAGTGGGAGGGAAAAGGGAAAGAGTGTTTTGGCGGGGAGGAACCGTGTGATCCAGGGCTGGCTGGCCCTTTCTAGCTTGGATCCTCCATGTTCTTTGGAGCTGAAGGGAAAAAGCAACAAGAGATAAGGCCGGGGCAATAAACAAGGGCAGATGGGGAGGGGCTCTGATGGCCTTGGAGTTTATCTCGAGGCCAGTAAATAGAAGACGACCACCGTCACTTTGTTCTGTTATTGTGTGTTTAGTTCATCTTCTGTTACTTGCACAATTTAAAATAATCTCATTCATTTAATTATCTACCTATTTATGGTCTAGCCCATCCTCCCCCCAAGGAGAATGTAAGCCAGTGTGAGGTCTGAGACCATAGATGTTTTATTCTCTGTTGTAACTCTAGGCCCCAGCAGAGCACCAGGCACCAAGCAGTCAGTCAAGTTTTTTAAGAAGGAATGGATGGATGGATGGATGGATGGATGAGAAAAACAAAGCAGGGACACATAGATTTGAGAAAGTGTCTTGTTCCTAGGTCATCCTTTGCCTTTATTTAGGGCCAAGCCTCTGCTTTCCACCCTCCACAGGGGAGGGGTGTGGCTCAGAAAGCTTTGTCTCTTGCTTGCAGGTAGTGAAGTGCAGGTGAGGCTAAGAAATGAGTTAGGCAGGAGGGTCTGGGTTAGCTGACCCTGAAGCTGAAAGCCTGACTGATCTTTGGACATAATTTTTTTTTCTTAAGCAACCTGTGGGCCATGGGAAATAAATAACCTGGCTTTCACACTGAACTCCGAAGTCACGGGGTCAGAATCAGCCCTTGTTCTGCTCAGGCTTTGATCTCTCAACCTCACAGAGACTACCAGGCCAGAAGCGTCCTTAGAGGTGACCTAGTTCCTTGCTCCTCAAAATGTAGCCCTTGGACTCCACTGACAGACAGTCCCAAAGCTGCCTGCCCCGCGCCTGACCTGTCTTGTCCCATCCAGTGCGATAGGGCGCTGGGATCTAGGTCCGGCCTCGTTACCTGTTAATAGGCCTAGTTCTTCTTTCTCGCTGCCCCATTTCCAAGATGAGACTAACAACAATTTCAACAATTTCACTTTATAAGATTACTGTGAGAATTAAATGCAAAAATGTGTCCTATCCAAATAGCAGGAACAATAACTGACAACGTGTTGCGTGCTTAGAATGCGCCAGGGACTGTGCTGAACACTTTATCTGTGCTCATGTTTAATTCCTGCCATGCCTGTTTTACAGATGAGGAAACTGAGGCACAGAAAGATTAAGTGCACGGTCTAAATTGCACACCTGGAGACTGGTGAAACAGGCGCTGACTCCAGGGTCCTCACTTGGGACTACCTTGCCAGATTTCCTGTTTTTAAAGTATTTTATGGAGTATGCAGACTCCCTCCACATCCATTACCCGGCGGGTCCCTGAGAATCAGCTCTGTAGGGGAGGCACTATTATCCTCACTCTTCAAACAATCATTTTGAAGATCAGAAAGAGGATCTGCCCAGGGTCACAGGGCTTGTATATGGCAGAGTTGGGTGATTAAAATGGCTTTTCTAACACAAATAGCCCTGGCTGGCGTAGCTCAGTGGATTGAGCGCGGGCTGTGAACCAGGCATCTCAGGTTCAATTCCCAGTCAGGGCACATGCCAAGGTTGCAGGCGATGGCCCCCAGCAACCACACATTGATGTTTCTCTCTCTCTCTTTTGCTCTCCCTTCCCTCTCTAAAAATTTTTTAAAAAATGGCTTTTCTGATGCCCTGTTAGTAACATTCCACTTTAAAACCAGACATTTAGCCCTGGCTGGTGTGGCTCAATAGATTGAGTGCTGGTCTGTGAACCAAAGGGTTGCCGGTTCAATCCCCAGTCAGGGCATATGCCCGAGCTGCAGGCCAGGCCCCGGGTATGGGGTGTGTGAGAGGCAACCTCACACTGATGTTTCTCTCTTTCTCCCTCCCTTCCCCTTTCTAAAAATAAGCAAATAAAACCTTTAAAAAATAAAACCATACATTTAACAAGCTATCCCACATGAAACATAATTCACATAGCTGCAAGAGATTGTTTATAACCTTTCCTTCCCCCTGTTTCTCCTCTTTTTTTAGCCCTTTTTAAACCATGGCTACCCTGGCTGGGTGGCTCATTTAGTTGAATCATTGTCCCCATACGCCAAAGGTTGCAGGTTCAATCCCTAAACAGGGCACATACCTAGGTTGCAGATTCAATCCCCTCTCTGGGTGTGTACGAGAGGCAACCAGTAGATGTTTTTCTTTCACACTGATGTTTCTCTCTCCCCCTTCCTCTCTCTCTAAAATCAATAAACATATCCTCGAGCGAGAATTAAAAAAATAAAATAAAGTAAACCATTGCTGTGTGGAGGCATTACTTCCCTGTCCTTGCACATCCTCCCTCTTGAACATGGTGCAGTGAGAGCAGCACTGAGCTGACACCAGACTACCTGGTCCTGGCCACTCACCCTTAAACCCCTCACTGGGCTATTGTCTTCTCACCTGCAGAAGGTGGGGGAAGTATGTGGATTAGATGGGCTATAAGCCCTTCAGACGGAAGTCTAGCTGTGCTCCAGATAATGCTCCCTGATCCCTGAATGGGCAAAGCTGAAGAACCTGTAGGGGAGAAAGAATCTCTTTTGCCTATTGTGCCCTCCTCGGAGACTGCATTTTACAGTCTTTTTCCTGTTTAATTGCCATTCCTAAAGCCACGCTTGTGGCCTTCCGCAGGCCTGGTTTGGCAAGGCTCTTTGACTAGATTGCTGAAGCCGGCAATCTGTCGGACTCTGGAAGGACACAGTCATCAGTGTGCTATTCACTGTGTAAGCCACAGCTCCCCAGCCTGAACTCGATGATGTTAAAGCCCTTGAAGTGGGAACTACCACGGTCTCTGTTTTACAGACACTGAGGCCTGTGGAGTCGGAGTGACTTGCCCAGGGTCCTAGTGAGTCATGGAGCTAAGCCTTGAAATGCAGGTTTTCAGACCCAGGTTGCGTTCTCTCCACCCATACTCTCACTCATGCCTCGTGTTCATCGAGCACTGACTGCAGTCAGGTCCTGGGCTGGGCACTGAGCACGTTGTACTGAACATCACAGACGGGTTCTGCGCAGGTGGTGGGGGGGCGTCCTGTATAACACAAAACGTACACTTCTTACACTACGTCCAAATGCCAAATCCATATCAACTGTAAACTTTATGTTTTTTGAGAGGAAAAAGTTCTTTTTCAGGTCACCCCCTTTCTTGCTTCTCCTCCCACTTCCCGTTTGTTCCTGATCCTCCCGTCCAAGTCAGCCGAGGCCCTGGCTGAAGTTGGGGTGAGTCGGGCCCAGAAGCTTCCCCCACAAGCTCTAAGCCCGAGGAGGGCCAAGGACCTGAGGTTTGGGCGCCTTGGCACTCCGCCCGGCAAAGGCGATGGGCCCAGAGCCGTCCTTGATCCCAGAAGGCTCCCTGGGCAAATGTTTATGAGAAACCTCACTGTGGCAAAGGGCCGTGACCCCCCTCCCTCCCCCAGCTGCTCCTAACCCGTGACTGCCCCAGGACCTAAACAGCCTGCTCATTAACCGGGGAAACAGACTCCTCTGCTGCTCTGCTTTAACTCCCAGATGGGTGGGCATGGAGGGCCGGAGGTGGCCGGCCAAGAGTCTCCAGACTGGGAGGAGCGGCTGCCAGGAACTAATGATCCTTGAAGAACTGGGCCAACAGGGGCCACAGGGAGCACGCAGCCTGTCTGTGGCCACCGCTTGCCCACTTGCTCAAGGCCACCTACTAGGTGAATGGGCCCTCAAAGCCTTTGACCCAATGGTTGACACTTTAAGGGAATTAAAGCTTGACTCTGTGTTTTCCCTAATGAGCCCACCCTTAGAGCACTGCGGTGGAATCAAAGGAAATCATGGCTAATCAAGGCACTTGGCAAGCTGAGCTGCCTGAGCAGTTGCTCTCTGGCCCAGGCCCTTCCTCCTCCCACGTCCCTGCATCCGGCCTTCCTTCAGTCCCTCAGGACAGACTCACCCACCCCACACCCCCCGCTGCACCGAGTCTCGGCTGTGAAATGAGGGTGCTGAGAGTACCGGGCTCTTGGGAGGAATGAATGAGACAGGTTCCAGGCAGCCTGGTGCAGCACCTGGCACCTCTCTGTGCTCGGTGTTAGCTTCATCCATTCCAGGTGTCCCTTGAGGAGTCCATGGAAGGCCTCCCAAGCGACCTGGAGTGGGAGTTTTCTGAATGGGAGACAAGCGATGAGGCAGGTATTTGCTGGAGTGGAACGAGAGGAAGTGGATCTCGTGGGCAACCTGAAGGACTGGAACAGGGACGTCAGGAACAACCCCTGTGTAATTTCCAGGAAAGGGAAGGCATGTCCAAACACCAGAATTGGATGAAAAGTCCTCAGATATTTACAGTGTGGAAGAGAGCAGTGCAAACACAGTCTCGTTCCAAGGCAAGTGGTGGGGGCACGTGACCTTGCGAGGGCACAGGAATTGTGGCTGTAACTGAAAGTTGCTAAAACCTTAACTGAGCTCACAGGGCTCACCCAGCTGGCCGTCTCTGCAGGGTTCACGAGTGCAGTGCTCGCCCCCTCCATCTTGCACTTCCAGCAACATCTCCCAGTGTTTGCAATAGCAGTGCCCCACCCCGAGTCTCGGGGTGTTTCCATCTCTTCCATTTTCTCTTCTTCCCATTGAATCTATATATATAGATTTTTTTAAGATTTTATTTATTTATTTTTAGAGAGGGAAGGGAGGGAGAAAGAGAGAGAGAGAGAGAAACATCAATGTGCAGTTGCTGGGGGCCATGGCCTGCAACCCAGGCATGTGCCCTGACTGGGAATCGAACCTGCGACACTTTGGTTCGCAGCCTGCGCTCAATCCACTGAGCTACGCCAGCCAGGGCTGAATCTATATATTTTTAAAAAATAGTTTGAGAGTTTTTATGCACCTGAATAATTTGTGATTACATTCTTCTTGTAAAATTAAAATTTGGCAGCTGAAGCTAAAATCCCATTTCATCCCTCCTGATCTCCCTTTTTGTCACAGCTCATCTCTAGTGTCACCAGCAGCATGTTCATTCTTCCAGAACTTTCTCTTTACACACACACACACACACACCCCATTGAAATCTGTTTGGTGGCAGCATTTTTGGACTTCGTCTTTCATGAGCAGTATTATGCATTATTATTGTGCTGCAGCTTGCTTTTCTCACCAGTGTATGTTTTAGAGATCTGTCCATCTTAGTATGTTTTATCTACTTAATGTTTAACCACAGCACAAGGTGGATGTTTTAGGGTTTATTTACTCGCTCCTCCCCTCACCCATCCTCCCACAGCTGCGCATGATGCTGCTGTGAATAGCCTTCCTTGTGTACCTGTCATCTACCTCCCCAGGACGGGAGTCTGGCAGTGGAGTTATAGGTTACCTGAACTACTCACAGACCCAGAAAAAGGCCCTGGGTCTGAAAACCTACCTCCGCAAGCGGAGGGCAGGGAAAGAGGCAGGCTACTTCAGTCCAGTAATAAATAGAGTTTCTTGAGGGAAACTTACATAGCAGGCACCCTGGGGAGGCTGTGAGACAGATGGATCCCTGCACCACTTGGCAGGCACCAAAGGATCACATATGAAGTATTCACGGGGACGAGCACGTGCGTGCTACCAGGTGTGGGAAGTTACTTTCCATGCTTGGCCAGGTCAGGACAATGACCTGGTCCAGGAACGGGCATGTACCAGGAAGCAGGGGAGGGGGCTGGTTTATGTCAGAACGGGCATAGATTACGGTCAGTCTCCAAGGGGGGCTTGCAATAGGCGATCTCCGTTGTGACCCGGGTCCAGCTCACAGGTCAGATGGCAGTCAGGACTCGGGGCAGTCTCTTCTCCACAGTTACTAGGGGATGAACATGCTCCGCTGGATCTCAAGTATAGATTCTCCCTGGCTGCCCTCTGGGGTCATTTCTTCTGGTTCTCAGGTTAACCTATGTAAATCACCAGCTTCCTACGTCTAACTCCCACTGGACAACCCCACCCAGAGGCCCCTCAGGTCCTCAATCTCATACAACAGAAGTGACCTTATCTCTTCTCCCCCTCCCCCACGGCCCCTGCCTTGGTATACACACTCGTGGTCTCCCAGTTGCCCAAACATGGAAAAACATTAACCAGAGTATTCTCTCTCGCCCCAATTCGTAATGAGACATCCAATCTTGTGGCTTTTATCTCAGTACTATCCTTTTTGGTTCTCATTCCTTCTTATCTTGAGCCAGGATTATCTTAATACCCCCCCCCCCACAACTAGTCTCCTTATCCTTGTATACAATACCCCAAAGTAATCTTCCTAAAGCACAGAGGAAGCCATTCTCTGCGGTTGGTTCCCCGCCGGAGTATAAAATACTGTAGGATTTCCTTGGCTTGCTATTCACAGCCTTCCCCAGCCTGGCTCCACTTTCTCCGTCTCGTTTCTGATCTCTTCACATTCTTCCTCTTTCACCGCCCCCCCCCCACCCCCCGCCCCCACCACCACTGATCCCCTTGTACTCCCAAACGTGCCGGTATTTCTTGCCTCCCACATCGTGTTTCTGTGTCTTCTTCTCTGAGTCTCCGAGCTCTGCCTGCTGAAGGTCCACCATCCCTTCTAGGTCGTGCCAAACAAACATTAAGGGTGTGGATCCCAGGGTTCTTCTCTGGGAAAAGGATACAACACCCTCCGGGTGTGTGGGGAGCTTTAAATGAGATTCTGCCTCTTACAGAGAAAATGCTAAGTAAACCTTAACTCTGATTGTTGTCATGCCTCTTTAAAAGCTGTGCCCAGCCTCCCTGTTGGAGTGACTTTCCTGCCTTCCTGGGCTCTCTGCGTCCTGGGGGGCATGTCATTATTCAGTCATTCTTGTATATCAGTTTGTCCTCACAGTTGATAATAACCCCCGGAGGAGCAGGGGTGCTCTTATTTATTTGTGAGTAGGGTCGCAGCGCAGTTCCTAGAACGGAATCGAACGCAGGGGCACGGTCTTACTGCTGTCAGCTCGGGAGGGCAGTGGAGAGAGCCGGCTGGACGGAATCGGGGCCTGGTGGTGATGACCTGCACCCCTCGCTTCCTCTCCCCACACCCAGTTTCCTCCACCAGAAACAGGGGGAAAGAGTAATGTGCACCTCACAAGGAAGGTTGTGGGGAAGCTTCTGTGTGCCAAAGACCTTTCTAGTGCTTTTTTTTCCTCTGTTCCTCTCAGTTTGTCTTCTCACAGTAGCCCGCTTCCCCCTTGTGGGTAAAATGGGAATCACATACTAAAATCAGTCAGTATGAAATAATCTAGGAACCAGAGGTTTATCTCAGCATTGTTTTGTTTTGTTTTGTTTTGTTACCGAAAAATTGAAAACAAGACAGGCCTCCAAATAGGAGCTTGGCTAAATATATTATGTCACACCCACACAAGGGAATATTATTAAGCCATTTGGATATAATGAAATAGATATCTATGGTGTACAGCTAAGTAAAACCCTTGTTATAAGCATATAAACTATGCTCCATTTTGGTAAATATCTAATGATAATAGCGTTTATGTTGGGAGGTAAAATTCCGTTGCTTTTCACTTTCTTCTTTATAGTTGTATGTTTGGATTTTTAACAACGAGCAAGTATTATTGCTATTAGAAAGTTTTACTGTATTACAGAGAACCTATCAGTAAAACCAACCCCCCGTTAGTTGCCTGCTGTGACAGGCAGACCTGAGTCAGGGAGTGCCCTGACTCACGTGTTTTACAAGCGTCGCCTGCTCCAGCACGATGCCTGAGCGTCGTAGGCAGGAAACGAACGTCGAAGTCAGCCTGAGATGGATGCAGGGGCTCTCTGAGGGGCTGCCCCAACGGTCACTTTTCTGCTCTTGGGACCTGCTCCCTTCAGAGGGACCCGCTCCCTTCAGAGAGCCCTGGGCAGAAGAAGGCGGGAGCAGCGAGCCAAGGAGAACAAAGGATCCCGGGCTAGAGATGCTCTGGGAGCATCTCAGAGGTGGGCCAGTGGGAGCTGTGTATCCACCGTTCTTGGCCAGCCCAATCGGAAATCTTGAATCAGACCCAGGATTTGTTTCCAGGATTTGGTTGTTGATGTTAATTTGTTAGATTGTGTGGGTTCTCTGGTGCCGTCCAGATCCAACATTCTATGACTCTGTTTCCATGGTGCTATGATTTTAAGATCCTGATCCCTCGGGGGGTTAGTTGTCAAGGCAGTGATAGACAAGCTGGCTGTCTTCTCTGGGTCCAGTGTCTGGGACCGGGCTGGCTGCCAAGTGACGTCTTCTTGCAGTAGGTAACCCAGCTCATCTGTAGGAGAGCCACCTTGTGAGGGGCAGACAGCCACGAAAACTGCCCCTGTGCACCATAAAACAGGCATGTTCCAGTGAGGAGAGGGGACCTGGAAAAAGGACCCTGGGTTTATGCTAATGAGAGGATCAGCGTGGGGCCCACAGACAGCTTCAGATGAGGGCGGGGCCCTGGGAAGGTTGAGCACAGGATCAGAGGTGGGAACTTTCACTTCCACTTGAGCTCCAGAGAAGGAAGCGGGGCTGGAGACCGGGTGAAAAGAACTCTTGAACAGTGAGATCTGGGGAGCTTTCAGGTTGACGAACGCATCAGAGTGGCAGAGAGGGGCAGCCCCGGGCGGCGCATACAAGCTCCGAGAACAACTGCCCCCCTTTACCTTGCCCTGGGCATCTCTTTCATTGGGCTAGTCCTCAATTGTATCCTTCACAATAAAACGGTAAACCCAAGGAAAGTGTTTTTCTGAGTTCTTCCTTCAAAAAGCCATCAGAATAACATGGATTGAAGAGATTTTAAAACACTTCCCATCTCCTCCTGCTGCTGTTCATGAAAAGAGATATTAGACATTCGTTTATTTTTAGATAGGTATGATACCTATTTCAACAAGTATGTCAATGCTTAAAAAATAACGCATGTCTGTGTGCTCTGCCAATCTAATTCAGCAGCCACTGTGTCCAACCCCACACTGGCATCTTTGGGGGAGACAAGAAACATTGTGCTTAAACCCTTGCCTGTCTCCTCCTAGACCTGTCAGTTTCTGTCTCCGTGTGTGCTTCCACACCCCCTCCTCCACCACGCCCAAGCCCAGGTTCTTGATCGCATGGCATGCAGTGTGCTCTGTTTTTGGCATTCACCTCCCCAATCCAGGTATGGATGTGTCTTTAAAATAAGAGTCTTTTTTAGGTGATGTCTGGGTCATACTGTCATCGGTAGAGTAATTGTTTTCGTTAGAAAAACACTTAGAACTCTTAGAAAAAATATTCACTAGGTTAAAAATTAAACTAGCACTATATTGCTACAAAACACAACAGTTAATGCACAGACAAAGCCAAAGACTGATTGTTAATGCTTATGATTGCAATACACTTACATTACACAGTTCAATCACATAACTCTGGAGTGATGCAATGATAGAGAATCCATTGTTGCAAACTGCAAATTGTGGTTTCCAACAGTGCAGTCAGGGGGGAAATGGTAATAGGGAACTAGGAAAGGCACAACGTCTATGCCTTATCCACTTGACAGTAATAATTAAGTTAGTGGTGAAGCAGGATTTGAACCCAGATCTCCAATCTTCAGATCCAGGGCTCTTTCAGGTCTGAGGAATCAGTATTACCCAGGAATGTGACCTTCAACCAGTCAATCTGGAATTGCCTGGTCAGCACTGGTGAGGTCATCTGCCTGGAAGGCACCCACCCTTCCCCACAGGCAGGTGACCTTGCCTGACATCATCTACACTTCCTCCGAGTTCCTTTCTGTCTGCTGAGCTGGGATGCTGCTCACATCAGGATCATGAAATAAAGCCAGCTAAGTCAAATTTACTCAGTTGAATTTTGTTTTTCAACAATTTTATGCCTCGGTCTCCTCTTTCCTGTTCCCGTATTCTTTTTTCATCAGCCAGGCCCTGCACCCTAGTATTGGAGTGGCAATTTCCCCTGGGAGGGTTCCCCATTGTGCTTAGGAGCACAGTGGAATGTGTATGCCCCCTCTCGGCCCACAGGAACTCTGCCATCTCTGTTGCCCCTCTCCCACACCGCAGTCCTCCCGCAGAGGGCCGGGCGGTCGTGTCCCCTGCTGCTGAGTTGGCTCTCACTCCTGGTGACCCAATGACTGGGCGATGTCCACCATGTCCTGTCGTCGACAGCCCTGCTCAACGTTTAGAGTCTCGTGCCTACGGCTGCTCGTATGGAGTCAACCCATCCGATCCTTGGTCTTCCTCTTTTCCTGCTGCTCTGTCTTTCCCAGCATCATTGTCTTTTGATGAAACAGCCCTGCACCATTTGCCAGCAGGTTTAAGTAGAATGCCCTGTGCAAGGATCGCACCACTCCAAACTCCCGTTTCACCAGTTGGTCTCCTTCCATGAAGTGCTGTACCACAGCAGTGTCTTCCCCAGTCCATCCGTCAGATCTCTCTGGGAAAATTTGCAGCTTACTTTCCTCTTCCTCTCCCAGTCCTTTCCACCGTCTTCTGCTCTGAGTAGACCCAGTTCCTCTGCTTGTGTGGAACCGATGTGTGGCGGCTCCCAATCAGGCGTAGTACCTGGGAGCGGCCACGTTGCCCTTTGGACAAAGCCGCTGAGGATGTGAAGTGGCCCAAATCCCACACCGAACAGCTCAGGCTCCAGAGCCCCATGCCTTGCTCATCCGGTGAGGGAGCGGGAGAGTCCCTCAGTGTGGATGTGACAGCCGTCCTGGGTTAAACTGGGATGGGCGTTTGGGGACCTGATCATGAAACAGCGAGTCAGAGGAGGGACTTATGGGTTGAGTCATGAGGACGTCTGGGATTGGCGTCGGGCGGTGGTGCGGGCTGCAGGGAGGTCTGTGAGGGCCAGCGGTTAGAGGTCTGGGGTCAGGGGTGGGAGGACTGTTGTGTACTCATGGGGACCGGAATAGGGAGAGAGTATGATCTGTGGATCAGGGATAGTGGCCTGTGCGCTGGCGGAGTATCCCTGTGGCCAGCCAGCGTTTTGTGAACCTGCAGGGCCAGTGTTCTTGGAAGTAAGGAATCAATGTGGTTTTCCTGGCAGAAGTTTACTAGGCTTACTTGACTTCAGCAAAAGATCGGTGCCAGGGAATAATGGAATATAAGCTTGAATAGGCAGTGTGAGTGTAGACAGTTAATGTTTTATTAGCTATTCCCAGAAATTCTGTTATTATTTTTAATAATTTTGAGGTATAACTCACATGCCATGCAATTCACCCATTTAAAGTAAAGAATTAAGTGGGTTTCAGTATTTTCACAGATATGTGCAACCATTGTTTGCAGTCAGTTTTAGAACGTTTTTTATCCCCGCCAAAGGGAACCCTGCACCTTTGGCTGTCAGTCCCCCCATACCCTCTTCCCAGATCTAAGCAACCACAGCCTGTCTCTGTCGATTTGCCTATTCTTGATATTGCGTTTAAACCTAACCATATAATGTGGTCTTTGGGGACTAGCTTCTTTCACTTAGCATGAGGTTTTCAAGGTTCAACCACATTACGGCATGTACCAGGACTTTGCTGCTTTTTTGGTGGAATAATATTCCATGTATGGATAGAATACATTTTTGGGTTTTTTTTGGGTTTTTTAAAGATTTTATTTATTTATTTTTTAGAGAGGGAAGGGAGGGAGGAAGAGAGAGAGAGAAATCAATGTGCGGTTGCTGGGGGTCATGGCCTGCAACCCAGGCATGTGCCCTGACTGGGAATCGAACCTGCGACACTTTGGTTCGCAGCCCATGCTCAATGTACTGAGCTACACCAGCCAGGGGGATATAATACATTTTGTTTATCCATTATCAGTTGATGGAACATTTGGCTTATTTCCACTTTTTGGCTACATGAATAATGCCACTGTAAACATTCATGTACATGTTTTTATGTAGACATGTTTTATTTTTTTCTTTGGAAGCTAGGACTGGACTTGCTGGGTCATATAGCAAGTTAATAACTAAAACAGTGCCTGATAACTAATTATATTGAACATCTTTTCATGTGCTCATTGGCCATGTTTGTATCTTCTTTGGAAAATAGTCTATTAGGATCTTTTGTCTACTTTTGAATTATTTGTCTTTTTATTATTGAGTTGCAAAGATATAAAGTTCTTATCTGATATGTCCCTTTATTAGGTACAGGGTTTGCAAACACTTCCATTCTGTGGGTTGTCCTATCATGATCTTTGTAGTGTCCTCTGAAGCACAAAAGTTTAATTTGGATGAAGCCCATTTATCTATTTTTCTTTTGTCCATACTTTTGGTGTCAGGTGCTGGAGTCCCATGGCAAATTCAAGGTCATGAAAATTTACCCCATTTTCCCTTAAGAGTTTTATGCTTTGAGTTTTTATACTTAAGCTTGTGATCCACTTTGAGTTAATTTTTACATATGGTGTGAGGTAAGGTTTAACTTTATCCTTCTGCATGTGCCTATTCAGTTGTTCCAGTACCATTTATTAAAAACACAATTCTTGTCCCATCGAATGGTCTTGTACCCTTGCAACAAATTAATTTGTCGTAAAGAAAAAGGTTTATTTCTGGACTCTGTATACTGTTCTATTGGTCTGTGTATCCGTCCATAGGTGCAGGTCTGCAAGGATGCCCTGAGGTTTGATGATTCACTAGAAGGAGCCACAGACTTAGAACAGCTGTTATTCTCATGGTGACAGTGTATTGCAGTGATAGAATTTAGCAGTCCAGGTCTGAACTTTCTCTCCTTAATGTGGCTCTGTTTAGATGATCTAGTTTTTCCTTAGTCAGTTTTGCTAATTCATGTCCTTCAAGGAGTTTTCCATTTCATCTAAATTGTCAAATTCATTGGTACAAAATGTTTTATAATATTCCCTTACTGTTCGTTTATGTCTGTCTTTCATCTGTGATGCTGATACCTTGTGTCTTCTATTTTCCTCATCACTAGCTAAAACATACTGGTTTGGTTAATTTTTTAATTAATCAAGTTTTGATGTCATTGATTTTCCTCTGTAGTTTGTCCATTTTCCATTTCATTGATTTCCACTCTGATCTTTATTTTTCTTCTCTTCTACTTATTTGAGGTTGAATTTGCTCATTTCTTAGCCTATTACGTGAGAAACTTAGATCATTGACTTGAGGCTTGCTTTGTTTTCTGTTGTGAGCATGTAAGGTACAGGTAGTCCTCACATGGTATCATAGTGCGGCACAATAAAAATCACCATGGAGCCAAACTTTGCAAAATAATCTTCATAATCAGGGGGAAAATTATAATTGTTTTGTGATCTTTAAACTTTTTTTGTTAATATATTAAACATTCTCTTACTATTGGCTATAACTGTATAGAGAAATGAAAATATAGTAAAAGTATTTATTACCTGGCAATTTTAAACATTGAAAATATGTTCCATTTCTTTTTAAAAACCCTATGTGGAAGATGTTGAACAGTATATCCCTTCCTATCATTGTGTATGATATGGAGTGAGCCTGTTTTCTGTGCCTCAGTCCCTGTACTCCACTTTGAAGGTCTGGCAAGGGGAGGGCCAGCTGGAGAGAGAGCAGGAAAACCAAGACAGACTTCTTAGGCAAGTCACAGCCAACCACAGATCGGTTATGGAAGAGCCAGTCCATACATATAATACACTTGGAAACATGTTTTATGACTGCACAGACCTGGATACTTCAAGACAAACACTGTATAAGTGTGATTCATTTGAGAGGAGCTTGAAACATAATATAAACCTAACTTTTGTAGTAGAGATTATACAAGAAACACCCTAATGACAATTTTGGATGTGGTAGAACACCTAGAGCTTCCTATTGTAGCAAAAAATTTCATGATGAAGTGACACACTGTGAAGATGGTCAGCATGAAAGACCACCAGCAAGAAACAGTCTCTTATTCAATTTGTGAATGTTGAAACTGGGAAGACCTATGCATGTATCACATGTGGGGGACTTCTCTTTAAAAATTGCAGTGCATGTGGGAAAGCTTTCAGTGAGAAGTTTCACCTCATTGTACACCAGAGAACTCATACTGGAGAGAAGCCTTATGAATGTCCTGAATGTGGAAAAGCCTTCTCTCAGAAGTCATCTCTCATTATACATCAGAGAGTTCACACGGGGGAGAAACCATATGCGTGTAGTGACTGCGGGAAAGCCTTCTCCCAGAAATCACCCCTCATTATACATCAGAGGATCCACACTGGGGGAGAAGCCTTACGAATGCAGAGAGTGCGGCAAGGCCTTCTCCCAGAAGTCACAACTGATTATCCACCACAGGACTCACACTGGGGAGAAGCCCTATGAGTGTGCCGAGTGCGGGAAAGCCTTCTGTGAGAAGTCCCACCTCATCATACACAGCAGGATCCACACTGGAGAGAAACCCTGCAAGTGTGCTCAGTGTGCAGAGGCCTTCAGCAGGAAGACAGAACTCATCACACATCAGTTAGTTCACACTGGGGAGAAACCCTATGCATGTCCTGAGTGTGGGAAGGCCTTCTCCCGCAAGTCACAGCTCATCATCCACCAGAGAACACACACTGGAGAGAAATCCTACAGGTGCAGTGAGTGCGGCAAGGCCTTCTGTCAGAAGTCGCATCTCATTGGACATCAGAGAATTCACATGGGGGAAAAGCCTTACGTGTGCACTGAGTGTGGGAAAGCCTTCTCTCAGAAGTCCCACCTGCCAGGACACCAGCGCATTCACACGGGAGAGAAGCCTTACATCTGTGCTGAGTGTGGGAAGGCCTTTTCCCAGAAGTCAGACCTGGTTTTACATCGGAGAATTCATACTGGGGAAAGACCCTATGGGTGCACTGCGTGTGGGAAAGCCTTCATCCAGAAGTCCCAGCTCACCGTGCACCAGAGAATTCACAACAGTGGGAAAGCCTTAATGAACTGAGTGCAGAAAAACCTTCAGTATTAGCTTAAGCCTTAATAAATGATATAAACTCCACAGATGTGATAAGTTTAAGGACATCTTGATTGATAAAATTTTACAAGTGACAGCCACTTCCTAAGGTAGTGTTTAATTTTTTCCCAAAATAATACAGAAATCTTAATTTTATAAGTGATGGGCATTTTCACAATGGCATGTAAAACTGTTAATATTGCTAACTGAATGATTAGTATAGCAGGACAAATTCCATATATAGTCTATTTGAAGTTACGTGTTCCTGATTATACTACATAGCACTAATCAGATGTGGTAATGTTGTTAATGTTAGCCTAGTGTAATTATGGTCACGCAGTAATTCCCCATAGAGGGCATGAAGAAAGGTTGAATTAAAAATGCCAAGATATAGAAACTGTACTTGGGGGAAGGGACTTCACTGTCACTCCCTAAACATATATGTAAAATTCTTATTGTAAAAGGATGGAAATATGGTTGATAAGGTCCAACAAATGTGGCCTTCATGTGTTTCCGTTTGCAGAATAGAAGTTGATCCGTTGTCAGTGGATGGGCCCAGATTTCAAAACTGCAGTTCTCGCTCATTTCTCCCTTTTACCCTGCGCCACTAGGGCTGGGTTGAGGCGGAAAAATACTGATTTTAAAGTCAGATTGTCCTGGGTTTAGTCTTCGTTCTGTTACTCACAGATGGTGTGACTTCAGGAAAGCCGCCTTGAACCCTCAGTGTCTCTCCCCTAATCCGTGTGTGAAATCCTGGCGGAGAGCATGTTTCTGCGTCGTTATTGTCTCTCTCTGTTCTCTCGCAGCAGATTGCTGACACCGGTGTGTACGCATCTAAACTTGATTTGCACTCCAGACACGACTGCCTCTGATTTCCCAGATTTCCCATCCTGTCCTCTGTGCATTTCACTGCCTTTGTGTCTGGTGGCCTAACTCATGTGGTGTTCCAGAGGCTCCCATTAATTTTATCTTACTTGGCAAACACACAAATTGTTGTGTCTGCATGTAAGGACGCTGTGCGCTCCCTCCACGGCTCCTGCTTTACTCCGCCCCCGAAGCACCGACTCTTTTCCCTGAGAATTCAGTGGCCCTCAGGAAACCCTTCGGGAGTGGGGAGGACTTGCCTGGGATATTTTACAGGCAAATATGATGCCTGGACATAAAAGTACCACCCGCTGTTTCTAAACTGCTACCGTGTTCTTCGCTTAGCTCCTCCTCTTCGCCCATGGAAGTCTCCAGACAAGCACCCTGATGGGGGCGGGGCGGGGGCGCTGAGGCCGCAGGTGGGGGCTCCTGCGGCTCAGCACGGCGTCTGCGTCTGCGGAGCAGCTCCGGCGCTCAGGTGGGTGTGCGGGTGTGAAGCAGCCGGCAGCCTGAGTCATGGCTGAGTACCTTCCAGTGGAAACTGGAAGCCAAAGCACTTTAGGGCAGACAACCGTTTGTGAAGATATGGCTCCGCGTGCTGTGTACCTTTTAAAATCTTTATATTCGTTATTAACAAATTTTGTTTTTAACACGACTATGGAGTCACCTACTCTGCATGAACAGAGAGTGAGAGAAGAAAATAGTCAAATGCCGTGTGGTGACCTAAAAATCAAAACAACACGTTTGTACCAGCATCACTCAGTGCCTGCTACAGGGAGCGTGAAGATTACAGAATCCAATGTTTATACTATGATAAAAAAATACACACACACACACAGAACTAAAAAGTGACCAGTGAGGGCAGAAAATAAGACGGAAAAGAATCGATTTTCGATGGACTCTAAAGCGATCTTATCAGGAAGGAATGCATTTGCACGAGCAGCGAAAGCTAATGTTCCACCCAGCAACGTAATTCCGGGCGGGGGACAGCACTGCGGGAGCCTAGCGCACGCAGGGCAGCGACCTCCGAGGAGGAGGAGAGCTCTCCCCTGTGCGTGAGGGAGTGGAGCAAACTGAACAGTCTGACGCAGGAAGGCTCAGAAGGAAAAACACAAACCCACTCTTAAGTGTAGAGCAGAGAAATGAGGTATCACCCGCTGGAAACTGGGGCACATCAGAAGAAATGTTGAATAACTGTTCTCTGAGAGCTGGAAGGTTTTGTTGGTGCAAAAATATTTATTACTGGTTAAATACCTAAGGCATCTTTGGCTTCGAACATTATAAACTGGAGCTGTAAAGGTTTTGTCAGTCGTCCCCCCCCGCAAAAAAAAACACCCCACAAAGCCCCAGACAACAGTATGGTGATTACCAGAGGGAAGGAGGGGTGGGGGAGGTACATGAGGGTCAAGGGGGATAAATGGTGACTGAAGGGCATGTGCCTTGGGTGGTGAACACACAAGACAATGTACAGATGATGTATTACAGAGTTGTACACCTGAAAGCTTTATAACTTTATTAACCAATGTCACTTCAGTAAGTTTGATAAAACATTTTAAAAGAAGCTTCTCAGCAGCTGCATTAACATGAAACAACGGTATCGAAACAAGAAAAAACTGAAACAAAAATCTTAGATGAGTGGGCATGCGGCAGGATGTCTGAAAATGACAGTCTCCCAGGACTCTTCCCAGGCTCCCAGTGACGGTCGGGTGTGGCCTACGGGGTTGCCAACATGTGCAATTTCATTATTATTAAAAATGTGGAATGTTTGCATATAACTCCGATCAAGGCCCCATTTTTATTCTTTAGCTTCTGGTGATCTGCTTTTAGGTCTGCTAACATTTGAGCTCTTCCTCCACTTCAGATATTCTTCCTTCTCAACTTCTTCATTGCTTTTTCCCCCTCATTTCCAATAGCAACCCCTCAGAAAGTCTTTCTTATCTCTCAGTGATCATTTCCAATGGCAATTTACAATCTGTCAGTTCCATATTTATATCATGTGCTGTGTATTCAGTTTTTCAAGTTCAGCTAGAATTGGTTCACAAAGCTTTATAAAGTCAGTTGAATCATCCTCTTCCAGACTGAGACTGTAAGGTTTCCTTTATTCTAAGTAACCGTATCACACAGAGTGACCCGGCCAAGAATCATACTGATCGCTAGCTGCTGTGAACCTGCTTCTCCATCTTGAGATGGATTCTGGCTAAGTTTCTTTCTTGATTCCTCTTCTGTATGATTGTTCTTTTTCTAAAAAGAATTTTTTTTTATTTGGTCTTTTTATTGATTTTAGATAGAGAAGAAGGCATAGGGAGAGAGAGACACACACCCATGCGAGAAACATCAATCAGTTGCCTCCCATTTGTGCCCCGACTGGGGATCAAAACTGAATCCTAGGTACATGCCTTGACTGGGAATCGAACCTGGTTTTTTGGTGTTCGGCATGACGCTCCAACCAACGGAACCACCTGACCAGGTCTGATGGTTGTTCTTGCTCATTTTCCTCACTATTTTGTCCCCAGTATGAAACTCCGTAGATCTGTTCTCTCTCAGTCACCATCATCCTCTGATTAAGTTGTGATTTATCTTCTTCTTCCTGTTCTCTTTTTCCTCCCTCTCATGTTTTTCTGTTAATACTCTGGAGTAAGCAGAAGTTATACCTACAAAACTACTTGGCCCATCTGGTTGACTTGAAGCATAGAATTAATTACTCATGATAGATAGAAAATCAAGAGGATGGAATGGTTGATCTTTATTTTTTTAAATTTTTAACTGCATATTTTTCCATTACCTTTTATCCTCCTTATACTGCCTCCCCGTCCCCTGGACTGGTTGATCTTGAAGTTGATTCTGGTCTGCAACACTGAGTCTCATCGTATGTTCTAGAGTACTTGTGTTTATATTCGTCCTCCAGCTGTTTCTGACTCTTCCTTGTCTTTATTCTGATTTTTTTCCTCTTGCTCTTCATATTCTTCTTCTCTAGTTCAGGTAGAATGACTTCTATGTCATACTGTAATGTATTTTGTTTGTTTGTATGGTCTATCCACATTGGTAGCATTTAAGTATGACTGGGGTGGGAATATTTAGCTGTAGTACAAAGGGTCTAAAGTGGCCACCAATGATTCTTAACTCTTGGTATTCATGGCCTTTGCGATAAGCTCCATATGAGTAAGTAGTTTCTAACCTATGGAAAATGGCAGCACTGTGGGGCTGTCACTTCTGTGATGAGGTTGTAAAAGACTGTGCCTTCCATCTTGCTTATAGGCTCTTTTCTTGGCCCAGTAAATAAGCCAGTTGCAAGTCTGAGAGTCCTGCATGGAAAGGTGCTGTGGGTGGCTCTGTCCGGCAGCCAGCAGTGCTGTGAGTGCCCTCAGGCCAGCCGTCCTTGAGGCGCTGAATTCTGCCACCAGTTGAGCTTAGAACTGGATCTCTTTCCAGTTGAGCCTTCAGTGGAACCCAGATCTGGGCCAGTACCTTGATTGTACATTTATGGAGGACCCTGAATTCAGCAGACGACCCAGATAATTCATGTGGCAGTTCCTGACCCACAGAAACTGATACAATAAATGTATGTTGTTTTAAGCCACTAAATTTTGGGTAAGTGGCTACATTTCAATACACAGACAATTAATAACACCCTTTATATGTAATATTTTATTTGATGGTGTATTCTATTATTTGCTTTTTATTTTTAAGGTCAACATATACATAACTGATCTTCATTATTCACAGATTCTGTATCTGTAAAGTTATCTACTTGCTAAAATTTATTTGTAGCCCCCCAAAAGCAATACTCGCAGTGCTTTTGCAGTCATTAGCAGACATGCCCAGAACAGTGAAATATTTCGGTTGCCCCATGCACACATTTCCAGCTGAGACTGAATGAGGGGGTGGTCTCCCTTTATTCCAGCCCTCGGGCCAAGCTGACCAGAGGATGGAGACCGCATGGGCAGTGCAGGGCAGTGTAAGGGACCCCGGCTCTGGGAACAGTGGATGGAGTTGGACTCCAGCCCTGGCACCTGTTAGTGGAGTGACCTCAGGTAAGTCACTTAATGCTTGTGAACCCCATCTTCTCTTTTGTAAAATAAAGACAATAGAATCTACCAGGATGTTCTTTGATAATCCTCTTAAGAGGTGCAGCTCAATTCCCATTCACTTTTAGCAAACAATACAGAAGTAATGAATCACCACTTCCAATTTCGGTTATAAAAGGACTGTGGTTTCTGTCTTGAGTGCTCCCTCTCTCTCTCCCTCCCTTGACTACTCGGCCTTGGTCGAAGCCAGCTACCACATCACCAGGTGGGCTTGGGGAGAACCAAGGCCACCACCATGTCATGAGGATAATCAAATGGCCTGAGGAAAAGCCTCCACGGTGGGGAGCTGAGCTTGGAAGCTGGTATTCTGAGGCTTGTTGTCATCCCCTTGTTTGAGTTTGGAAGCATCTACTTCTTCCACTGAGTCCTAAAATAACTGCAGCTAGTCTGACGGCATGACTGAAGCTCATCAGAGACTCCCCCTGAACCATTCCATTGAAGCTGTTCCAGATTCGACTCATAGAAACCATGAGACATTGAATGTTTATAGTTTCAAAGAGCTAAGTTTCAGCAACTCCACTGCACAGCAATAATTAATATTAATACATGTGGTTTTGCTAGCCAATCCCTCTACAGAGGGGCTACACCATTTTTCTGTCCTACCAGTAACATGAGAATTCCTGATTCCTGTTTCCAAAGTTAGCATACTTTTCTTTATAAGCTAATAAATGAGAAACAGTATCTTATTGTGGCTTCATTTTTTATTTCATCATGAGGGACTTCTCCTTCAACTTACTTTTTAATGCAATACTACAGAAGGATAGCTGCTCATCACTCTCAGGATTAAGAGCTAAAGTTTCACAATTCCTACCAGGCTCTCTACGGTCTGACTACTTCCCAAATCTGTGTTTCCCATGGCATTACTCCTCGAGAGTCTGAATGAATAATTACTGCACCCTTAGTGCCTAACACAGTGGCTGTACAGGGCCCTGTCTTAGCACAGGGCACGCAATAAGTGTTGACGTAACCGGAAGTCTACATTGAAGTGAATGATCACAACTGCGCATTTCTTACCCTCTTCTTTGTCTTGACCAAACATTGTCAGGCCTCTTTCCTCCCCACAGGTCCCTAAACTGTGCCTTGCCCCCAAGTTTAAACACACCCCGAAGGAGCAGTGTGTGTGAACAGCCTCCCTGCATAGCTTAGTCTCAGAATCCAGGGACTCCAGAAACATTTCTTGTTGATGTGCCCTGGTTTTGCCGCTTGTACACCCCACCTCTTAAAAGTTCCTGCCAACCCTTCCTGGCCCTCTCTATAAAAGAAAAGCCTTTTTCTGTTTGATTTTGAGATGCTTACAGATCTCTGAGGTGGGAGTCTCCCTATTGCGATTATCTTTTTAAATAAAACCTCTCCTTATCTAAGTCTAGATTTGTTTTTGACATGAGAAATAAAACTGCTAAATGTAAAATTGCTGTTCATTTAATTACATAAGCCCCAAATCATGGTTTCTAGGGAAACTGGTGATACAAATTATATCTATGCACATGAAACTCCAGTTTAACATTCATTTTTCTAAAGTATAAAAGCTTGATGTAAAGTCTCAAGATGATAATAACAATGGCGTCTTATTGGCTCATTATTTTTAATCAAGTTAAGTTTTTTCACCCTGAAATCTAACCTCATCATCTTTTTTTTTCTTTTATTTTTGTACTCCCCCCTTTCCCTGTCTCAGTCTCCCTCGCTGTCTGAGCCTCCTGGGTTGTCCCTTAGCTTCCCACTTCTGTCCCTGTGCCTCCCATTTGTGCCCTTCTGTTCCCCTCTCTCTCGCTTGACCTTTGCCCCTGTTATCCCTGCTGTCTCCTCGTGTCTGATTCTCCACTTCGCATTCCTCTTTCTGTGCCCGTCTTCTTCTCCTTGTCTCTCAGTTATTCTTTTTCCTTAGTCGGCCTCTGCCGCTTACTACTGCAGTAGGAATTTTCCCTAGAGTATTCCTTCTCATCGTTTTTAGCATAAAGTTCATTTTGACTGTGTCTTCCCCGCCCCGCCACTCCGACTCCTCCATCACTTTGACCCCGTTCCCACAGTGGAACCGTCTCCAAGGGGACTGTACCATTCCGCCTCTCCATCCCTTTCAGCAAGTAGAACCTCCCGCTATAGGCCTTTACCATTTACAAACATGTAAAATAGAGTCAATGAGAATATTTTAGTATTCCAAAGTCTTCCTTCCTCTTTCACCAAACGCAGTCTTCTAAGAGAGGACATAGCACTCAGAGTTCTTCCCAGTACTTTTGTAAAGTCTCTTTACAAATCTTGCACCTTATGGATTGGTACAATCCTCCTTTCCGTCAACTCCCCCACCCTCTCCCCTCCTGTCGCCGCTGGTGGTGCAGCCCAACCACAGGCTCGTTGTAAAAGGATTCCTGCGTGTACGGAACTGCACAGACTCTCAACATGGCGGCCCCTATTGGCACACAGTGCATGGCGGCAGCCACATTGCCTCCTGAACAAAGCCGCTGAGACGCGAAGTGGGCGGAACCACCCAGCAGGGATCAGCGCAAGCTCAGAAGCCTCGCGCTCCGCTCACCCCGTCAGGAAGCGCAAGAGTTCAATACTGTCGATCTGACAGCTGTCCCGGTTTAAGCTTTGACCGGCGTTTCGGCACCTGATAACAGAACCGCAGGTCTGAGGGTTGATTCGTGCGGTGAGTGTTTTGGATTGGCAGTGGGAAGGGAGCGGCCCTTGGAGGTCAGTGATTGGAGGTTTAAGAAGTCGTGATGGAAAAGGAATGTGGGATTGGTGCTGGGTTCATTTGTCGAGGCAGGGATGGTGTGAGCTATGAGAGTAGTAATTGGGGAGTGATGTGCCAGTGATGGGGTTGTCTGTGGGGTCAGAAATGACACGTAGGGGGACACACTGGTGGGGATGACTGAGGTGGGTGATGGGTGCGGGGGCTGAGGTCGAAATGACGGGGGGGGGAGGGGGCGTCCACGTGGTGGTCAGTGATGTGATGGGCACAGGGGAGTTCTGGCCGATATGTGATCCATGGGCCCGAGGATCCAGGGACTTGGAAGGAGCAGTCATCATCATGTGAGCCCCGATTTATTGGGAAAGGTTTTTACACACATTAAAACTTTCACAGGTCATAGGCAGCTGTTGGGTTTTTAAAAGTCAGCCCCCCTCTGGAGCGATTATTGCGCCCTTAATCCGGCGCTCCCTAAAGAAATGACTATTTTAAAACAACATCAAACAAAAACAATAGGATTATTATGAAAAGTGTGCTTTTTAGTCCTACCTCTTTCTAAGCTTATTGAAATCATTTTACATTTCATTCAAGAAACATTTATTGAGCACCTGCTGGGCACCCAGAGATTAGTATGATTATGTTTTTGGATTGTTTCCTTCCAGATATAACTTGATAAAGTCTCCCTGTCATGGGCGCTCACTTCCTCTGAAGCAGTTCAGTCCTGTCTGCATGACTCCAGGGACTGAGAAAAATTTACCAGGTATGTACCTTTCTCCACTGAGACAAGAAACATTTAAACAGAAAACATCTCAAAATTAACATTTAGGTCCATGAATATTGATTAGCAGGAGAGTTTACTGAGTTGAGAGAAAATATAATAGAGAATGGGAATTCAGCTGCTGGTTCTTTCTGAGGAATAAAGAAATACATTCCTTAGTTTTCCATTTGGTCATTACCATTCTAATTGCCAGGGGACTCCATCTACCGTTAAATCTTTATGCAGACCTACCCATGTGTATTGCCTTGTGACAGCCATTTACAAATATAATGGCTGGTTCACAGGGGGAAAGGTAAGTTGTTAGTAGATCAATATGTAACATCTTTACATCCATACAATTCAGAAACCTTGTGTGAGCTCTGAGTCCTCTTGTGACAAGAGGACTTCCTGCACATGTGCTTGCCGACCAGTCTGTAAGAGCCAAGCAGCCTCCTCCCCAGGTTGGCCTGTCATCCCTACAACTTCTGGTGGGCGTGGTTTCTAGATCGGTGGATGCGGAAGCTGCAGTCTGCGTCTAGTCCATGAAAACGTCCTTCCGATCAATGGTTTTGCTTTTTCAGGCATCTGCCCTTTGAGAAGACTGCAGAAAACGATGAAGTCCCAGGTGAGTTGCTTTTGTTTTTAATTTTTTAAATTGCCTCTTTGGTTTTCCATACAATCAAATGGAAAAGTAAGAAGAGCTAAAATTTGGATTAGGGAAAAGGTACAATAGCCAAAATAAAGATCAGGACCTAGAAAGAGTTTCTAGGTCACCATGTAGCTAACCTGGCCTGAGCCATTTAAAAAAACCGATGTACCAATTTTTCTGATCTTTCTTGCAGACGTCAGTTACATAATTTGCAATCCTCTAAAGAGAAAGCAGATACATTTTCCATGGGAAGAGATCATTTCTAGCCACATACGGCTAAAGCTTCCTTTTATATATAGGTCTGTGTTTAGGTGATAGAATACAGTGTTCTCACCAACATTCATTCCTGTGGTAAATGCCATGATAGATTTCTTGTAGCTGTATCATAGAATGATCTCTTCCAGAGGGAAGGGATCAGTGTCAGAGCCAAACTCCTTGAACTTTATCTTTTTGAGCTAGGGACATCAAACTGTTGCCTTGGGACAAACCCAACGTTTTATAAGCAACGTTTTATGGGCAGTGCAGCCGTGCCTTTTGTTTGCGTATTGTCCGGGTCTGTTTTCTGCTCCAGTGGTGGGTTGGGCAAGTACAGTAGGGACTGCATGGCCTGCAATGATGAAGACGTATACTTTCCTGAAAAGGTTTGTCGATCTCTGCTCTAGAGGACCAGTTTGATGCAGAGGCTTCCGATTGTCTGCTTCATCCGCTGGTAAAATCTAGATAACATAGGATGCGTACATTTTGAATAGTCTTCCAAAAAATAGATTTCTCTCAAAAAGCAGTTCTTAAGTTATAATTATCTGTCAAAAGCCTGGAGAGCCAGGACGCCCATGCTCCTCGTCCTGTCCTGTGATTTTGTAGGATTGCTGTTCAACTCAAGGCCAGTGCCTTCCCTGCTCTTCCTCTTTTGACAGTCTGTATTATATTTTTCTCCTTGTCAGCATTTGCTAAATACTTGGTACAAAAATTCTAAACTATATAAAAAGATAAAAATTAAAAGCTGAGAGACCTTTAACCTTTAAACTACGCTCCTCCTGAGATAGCAGCTTTAATCATTTGTTTTTAACCTTCCAAACCTTTTATTGATATGCGTATAACTGCAAGTGTGTATATGTGAAAGTACAAATATGTGAGTGCACATATTCTTGCACTTTTCTTTTGGAAAAATAATGTCATAGTAAACATTCTGTCTGCAATGTGATTTTTGACTCCATTGTCCAATATATTTTTGTATACCTTTTTTTTAAGATTAATTTTTTTTTAGAGAGGGGAAGGGAGAAAGAGAGGGAGAGAAACATCTATATGTGGATGCCTCTCGAGTGCCCCCTAGTGGGGACCTGTCTCACAACCCAGGCATGTGCCCTGACTGGGAATGGAACTAGTGACCCTGTGGTTCACAGGCTGGCAGTCAATCCACTGAGCCATACCAGCCAGGGCATGATTTTTGTGTATATTTTTAATAACTTCCCATGCCAGTACCTAGCATTCTCCTTTATTATTCGAGCAGATGTGTAATATTTCCTTGTGGCCTGGTTGACTGGGATTGTTTCCTCATCTGTGAAATGGGGACTGTAATCCTCATAGGGTTGTTGTGAGAATTAAGTGAGGAAAAAACAACCATGCTCAGAACTATGTAACTGGGGATGGTTTGTTCTATCTTTACATGTTAGCTGTTGTTATTATATCATCATTATTATTGTCAATCTTTCAATCAGCTTTTGTATTAGAAGTCCTTATGTATTTTTTATAGAAGAGTTTAATGACTGAGTTCTCTTGTGAAAAGATACAGTTTTTTCTTTCCTGGATGTCATAACTTTAGAGCCATGTGTCCAACACAAAGCCATCAGCCACATACAGTTATTGAGCACTTGAAACTGGCCAGTCTGCACTGAAACATGCTTTAAGTATAAAGTACGTGCTGGATCTTGAAGATACAGTTTTAACTCACTAGTAATTTAAAGATTGATTACATGTTTAAAATCACATTTTGGACATATTAGATATATATTATTGAAAACCACTTTTTGAACTTGGCTATTCTAAGTTTTGTATTCATTTCCCCCATGTCTTCCATTCTCCCAGTCGTCCAAGCTGTAAAAATTATTTGTAGATGACAAAAGTACAATTTCGCACTGATTATGCATGATATGTTTCTCAAAAGTAACAAGATTTATATATATTTAGTTAACTGAACCATTTAAATATCAATAATAAAACAAAACCAGAATGTTAGAATTATATCTACTTGTATAAATTTTTCTATCAGAATAGATTTCCTCTACATTCCATATTTATTATCTTTTTCATGTTATTGTTCTTCAGATCAAAAGAATATAATTGATTGATACACAAAAATATTTTTAACTTAAAATGAACTTTCTTTTATTCTCTATCATCTTCACTCATTCCTCTGTAGCAAAGGATACCCAAAGATTTCTTGGGTACCTGATATTTGTCATATGCACTGGCTAGCTGTGGAATATCTCAGGGACATTTAGGCATTGTTCTTTTCTGAGAGGAGCGAGGGAGAACAATGGGGTTAATGATGTGGAAATCAACACTGACATATAGACCTGAGAGCTAGGAACTGTTACTGTAAGGGGAGAGAGCAATGAGCTTTATAAGGAAGTTGGGAGTAGGATTAAAAGACTGTTGAACTTTGGATCACGAGGGAGGTTGGTTGAGGATGGGAAACAGCATTTTGCAAAAGTAGAAAGAGCAGAGTGACTTTAGGAAGGCCGAGAATCGGAGGGAAACTAAAGTGGAGGGTGTTTCATGGAAAGTTTGACTAAGGATGGTATTAAAGCATTGAAACATAAAGGGCTTATTTACAGTATCAAGGAGGCAGTGGTCAGGAGCCCAAGCTATTGAATCAAAGCACTTGCTTTTAAGTCTAAGTTTGAATCAACCATGTACTCCGTGGGTAGCCTCTGGCAGGCAGTGAGCGAAGCACTGTAATCCTCAGCTTTCCCAAAAGTAAAATGGGAACATTAATTGAGTTGTTATGAGGATAAACTGAATGCTTGGCGGCTTGATGATATGAATATGGGACTTGGTGCAGGATGAGAGAAACCATAAGACTGAAATGAGACTGTTTGTATATTCAAGAGTGGACCCAAAGGAGGCTTTGTGAGTAGCGGACTCTTGATATTTGAAACAGTATTTAATTAGTTTTCATTCTGAAAGTAATATTTGTTAGTGATGGAATATTTAAGAGAAAACCTGAAAAATAGTTTAAAATAATACAGCTCACTCAACTTCTGTTAGATGACAACTACTGTGAGTAATGATGACATAATTAAAATAGTCACTTTTGCCTCCAGAAACATCTTTTGGGCTCCACACTTACCCGAGTCCTTTATTTTAATGCTGGATCAATAATTTGTTGTGGGCGGCTGGTCAATTGTTGTGGGGGGCTTTTTTCATGAATGTTTTCCACATGTTTCATAAGTTCATTCTTTGGTATTTCTATTTCAGTTGATGTATTTAATGATATTATTAGCTATTAAGTGTATATGTATATATTAGAACTGTTAGATTTAGGAGAAACTACGGTATTTTTCTATAAAATGAGGAGGCGTAGATTATGATTTTCGAGCACTTTGACATTCTGTGAGTCTCTAAATGTTATACTGAAAAAGGCCTTCTCTCCTCTGTAATTATTAATAAAAAATCATTTTGTTTTTTTACTTTTGTGGCCTTGGGTATTTTTTACAGTTGAGATATTTGCTCCATCCAGACTGTATTCTTTCAGTCTTCTAAGACATAAGATACGGCGTGTCAGTTTGCAGGGGCTGCCATAACACAATACAACAGACAGGGTGGGTTCAGCAGCAGGAGTTTATCATCTCACAGCTCTGGAGGCCGGAAGTCAAAATTCAGCATGCCAGCAGGACTGGTGCCTTTGAAGGGCCGGGAGGGGGGATCTTTCCAAGGCTCTCTCCTTGAATCATAGATGACCATGCTCTCCCCGTGTCTCTTCATATCATCTCCTCTCCCTGTCTGTCTGTCACTCCTAATTTCTCCTGTTGTATGGACATCAGTCATAGTGTATTGGAATCCGCCCTAATGACCATATATAAGGAATCACATCTGCAGTGACCTATTTCCAAATAAGGGGACTTTCTGCAGCACTGGGGGTTAGGGTTTCAACGCAGGAGTTTTCAGGGGACACAGTTTAGCCTGTAACACATGTATTCCACATTATTCTTTTCCAGTTGACTGTGCAGTTTTTTTCAGTACTGTTCATTGAATACTCCATTTTCTTCCTGGTTATTTGAATGCTGCCCCTATCACATATTAAATTACCATTTGGATCAGGTAGGCATTTTGTGACTTACCTCTTCTGTTTTCCTGATCCGTTCAGCTCTTCTTGCTAATGAAAGGATTTTTCATTGTTTCCCCCAAATATCATGATACAAAAGTAGGTGTAGGTATGGTATTGCATGGTATAGCAGAAATAAGAAGGATCACTTCAGACTGAACAGGAATATACTGTTACAGGGGTTAGTATCATTCAAGGATGTGGCTGTGGATTTCACCCAGGAGGAGTGGCAGCAACTGGACCCCGCTCAGAGGACCCTGTACAGGGACGTGATGCTGGAGAACTACAGCCACCTGGTCTCCATGGGTAAGAACGGCTTCCCTGCATAACTCAGATTCATACAATCAAATGCCTCTCCCTGGCAGCCACTGTGGTTCGGTGGTTCCTGACATATGTAATGACTTCCATGATCTTCATACCTTCCCAAGTGGAGATCATTACTCTGCTGAGGGCCAACTGGACCACTTCATCACAGACTTGAACGGCACCTTCCCTTCTTCCTTCAGTGCCATGTGTCCCAACTCCTCCTTTCCATTTAATAGGGCATCCGGTTTCCAAACCAGACGTCATCTCCAAGTTGGAACAAGGAGAAGATCCGTGGATCATAAAGAGAGACATATCAAATTGGTTTTTTCCAGGTAAAAATCAAGCAGATGGGAGACAAGGGAATTAAAATATCGGTTTGTTTGTTTTGTTTTATGTCATTGATTTTTGCCTGAAGCTTATGTTTCTGTTCTTACTGAAATCCCTTTTTTTTGCTCTTGTGCTGAGAATTTGGTAGGCATTCAACTAATAATCAATTACATAATTGTGAATCTTTATAGGGGAAGCTATTTCTTGCTGATTCTCACTCTTTCATATATATGTATGTATGTGTATATATATGTGTAAACGCCTTTTATGAAAAGGCTTACTAGGCAATAGAGGGCACATAGGTTGTACTTTAGAAGATAAGACTTCCAGGTGCATGGCTGTACAAAATTAAATATCACATATAGTTACTGTTTTTAAAAGTTAAGAGAAAACTAGAATCTAAAGAGATGCAACAGAATTTGAGAAGGCATTTTTCAGAGCATGCAGCAGTAGCTGCTTTGAAAGATGCTAAGTATTGATGATGACGAAGTAGGAGGGCGAAGGCACACTGCCGGAGTGTGGTGGTGGTGGTGGTGGTCAAGGGGAGTATGTGAGTTACGGAATGTGGCTCTTCTGGGTGAACCTTGCTCATTTTATTTGCTACGTGTAGTTCAAGGTTGGATTTTGGTGTGAATCTGATACTGAATCCATAACATCACAATCCATTTTTTTCTGTTGTTTGTGTTGGTTGTTAATTAGGAATTTAGACTGAGGAGAGTTAAATTATTTTGAGTACCAGAGAGACCTTGTTTATTCAGACAGTAGCAGCAGGATAGTTTGTGTGTGTGTGTGTGTGTGTGTGTGTGTGTGTGTGTGTGTGAAATGATTTATAAAGTAAATGATTTCAAAAGGTGAAAAATATTTTCATTCAGAAAGTGGGGGAATTGGGAGGATTCTAGAATAATAATCCAAGGCTAGAGTGATAATAACCCAGATACTTTTCTATCTCCTTAAAGTCTAGCTTTTCTGTGAATATATCTCTGACATCCTTGTCTCTCCATCACCTGACCACACTGTATGCTGTGCAGTCTCACGAGATGGCCTGTCTCTGTCCCTGTTTTCTGAGTTCGCCACCTATGTCACATCAGTTATTTGTTTCAGCCTCTCTGCCCTGTTTAGTGTTCTTCATGATTGTTTTATGTATCTTTCTTTTCTTCAGACAGGAAGCATCGCCCTGATGACCCCCAGTCATGTATTTTGGGGTCCTTTTCCTTCCATAATAAGACACTGAAAGGTGTCACAAAGGATGGTTCTGTGTGCTCCATTTTGAAAGTATGTCCAGGTGATGGCCAATGGCAGAGAGGTCCAGAAAACCAAGACAGACTTTCCAGTCAAGTTACAGTTATCAGAAACAAGACGGTGACTGTGGAGTCAGGCCATAAATATAACACCTTGGGGACAGTGTTTGAAGAGTTCATAGAGCCAGATACTTCAAGACAAAGACCCTGTAACTATGAAGCATTTAAAACGTACTTGAAATCTAATATTGACCTACCTCGTTGTGATAAGACTAGTTCAAGAAAAACCCCTGATGCAAGTTTTGGATGCGGAAAATCATTTAGCCATGATGTGTCCAGTTCTGATCTTGAGAAAATTCAAAAAGTAGTAATACCCTCTGATGGTAACCGGTGTGGAAACCTTTTCAGCAATAAACGATCCCTTATTCATTATAAGGATACTGCAACTAAAGAGAAGACCTGTATATGTATCACATGTGGGAAAGGCTTTGCTAAGAAGTTACAGCTTATTGTACATCAACGAATTCATAGTGGAGAGAAACCTTATGATTGCAATGCATGTGGGAAAGCTTTCAGTGAGAAGTTTCACCTCATTGTACACCAGAGAACTCATACTGGGGAGAAGCCTTATGAATGTCCTGAATGTGGAAAAGCCTTCTCTCAGAAATCATCCCTCATTATACATCAGAGAGTTCACACGGGGGAGAAACCATATGCGTGTAGTGACTGCGGGAAAGCCTTCTCCCAGAAATCACCCCTCATTATACATCAGAGGATCCACACTGGGGAGAAGCCTTACGAATGCAGGGAGTGCGGCAAGGCCTTCTCCCAGAAGTCACAACTGATTATCCACCACAGGACTCACACTGGGGAGAAGCCCTATGAGTGTGCCGAGTGCGGGAAAGCCTTCTGTGAGAAGTCCCACCTCATCATACATAGCAGGATCCACACTGGAGAGAAACCCTACAAGTGTGCTCAGTGTGCAGAGGCCTTCAGCAGGAAGACAGAACTCATCACACATCAGTTAGTTCACACTGGGGAGAAACCCTATGCATGTCCTGAGTGTGGGAAGGCCTTCTCCCGCAAGTCACAGCTCATCATCCACCAGAGAACACACACTGGAGAGAAACCCTACAGGTGCAGTGAGTGCGGCAAGGCCTTCTGTCAGAAGTCGCATCTCATTGGACATCAGAGAATTCACACAGGGGAAAAGCCTTACGTGTGCACTGAGTGTGGGAAAGCCTTCTCTCAGAAGTCCCACCTGCCAGGACACCAGCGCATTCACACGGGAGAGAAGCCTTACATCTGTGCTGAGTGTGGGAAGGCCTTTTCCCAGAAGTCAGACCTGGTTTTACATCGGAGAATTCATACTGGGGAAAGACCCTATGGGTGCACTGCGTGTGGGAAAGCCTTCATCCAGAAGTCCCAGCTCACTGTGCACCAGAGAATTCACAACAGTGGGAAAACCTTAATGAACTGAGTGCAGAAAAGCCTTCAGTATTAGCTCAAGCCTTAATAAATACTAGAATCCTGAGTAATTTGATAAGTTTGTGAAAAGCATATTATATGTAAAATTTTACAAGAGGGTTCATGTTTATAGTGTGATGATACCTAATTCTTTCAGCAGTGATGGAAAATTAAATCATCATGGTATGTAAAGCTTTTTAACCTATGATTTGAATGGTCAGTAGAACAAATTATGTATACAGAATGTTATCAAGTTACATATTCTTTATTATACCATGTAACAATAACCAGACATTGTGAAATTGCTAATATTGGCTTATCATAATTTTGGCTATACAGCCATGGCCTATAAAGGACATGAAGAAAGCTTGAGTAAAAAAAGAAAAATCAATTCCTAGAAATTGCATTTTAAGGAGGGACTTAGCTTGACCCCTAAAGATACATGTAAAATTCTTATATGAAGATGGAAAGGTAGGTTAACTGAATTTAATAAAGGTGCTATTTATGTGTTTTCTTATCTCAAATGTGTAAGTCCACCTATATCTCTGGAAGTTCCCTGGACCTTGAAATTGATGCTTCTGGACCAGGTCTCCCTTTTCTTCTACCTCACTGAGGATTTGGAATGGGGGAAAGACTTGGGCACAGAACCAAATGGTCTTGGGTTTAAATCCTGGCTCAACGATGCAGATGGTGTGACTTCAGGCAAGCCTGCTTCACCCACCTGAATATTTGTTCTTATTGGTAAATAAAAGTACAATGCAGAACACAGTTTTAGTTAATGTTAGTTCTTTGTAGTCTTTACTCTCTACCCTGCTGCAACAGAATGCTAAGACTAATGTTTACAAGACACATCTGAACTTGCTTTGTATCCCAGACACCCTCGTTTTGATATCTCATTCCTATGACTGGTTCCTTTTACTGTCATTTGTCTGGTGGCCTTGGTTACCGGTATGGTAAAGTGACATTTTATTGTACCTACTGTAGTGTTTTACCTGCACTTATTTATATAAACTGTGGTGATCACACATAGAGACCCTCGTCTGATGTCTCTTCAGTTCCTTTCTGTCCCCTGCCCTGTGGCCTCAGCTGTTCTCCCTGAGAACCAAGGGCACTTACAGAGGAAAGCTCTTGGGGTGAGAAATCATGGCTGCCATAGACTTGGGAACATCGCATCTCTAAAATGTTTCCCACCCTCCTTCCTGTGCTTTCACCTGTGTGTCCACAAGCAGCTGCGGATGAGGACCCACACTGGAGGTGCCCCACCAGGAGCGTACCTGGCAAGGGTGAGGGTGTCAGTGTGGGTGAACATAGTTTACCCATGCTCACCTAGTTCCCGTTGAATCCTTCACATTCCTGCTCTCCTGAGCCCCTTCTTGCATGGCCGAACTGTCGGTTGTGGAAAGACAGGGCCCCTCTAGGTGAGAACCTCTTCAGGGGAGGGGGCACACCTCACCGGGACGTGGGGGCCTGTGCAGGCCCGTCCTGGTCTCACTGTGAACAGTGAGCCGAGGTGACTGCCACCAGGGACCACTGACCTTGCAGGCCCGGGGAAGAAGGCCTGGGGGACATTCCATGGGTTGAGCCACTCAGAGGGTTCCTCATGGAAGATGTCGGAGCTGGCTCCTCCGAGGGCCTGAGAAGGACAAGGGGTCCTGCTGGGCGCGCACACAGCGGATGGAGAGGGACGGAGACGGAACAGCAGACTCACAGCCCTACCTCGCAAGCCTCCCATTCGGTCTTCTCCCCGCCAGCCCCCAGCGAGCCTCGTTGATCTAGTCACGGGTTTCTGTAAAAACCCCACTTCAGAATTAGCATCTACAGGTGTAACACTGCCCTTCCCTTCAGCATTCTGCTAGAGGGGCTACCCAGTGTATGGGGGGCAAGGAGAAACGACAGACCCAAGGGTCAGAAAGGAAAAAGTAAAATGAACATTATTTGTAGATGATACAATTGTGTATAAGGAAAGTAAACACACTGATTAAATATTAGAACTAAAGGAGTTTAGTTGCTTTATGCAGTTTTAATATTAAATAAAGTAATTCAACAAACTAGCAAAGTGTCCCAGGTTCGATATTTAAAGATACTATTACACTAGCATAAAAAATATAAAACACTGAAAATAAATGTAATCACAAAATTTAAGACCTCTACATAGAAGTAACCTAATGCAGCCTGAGATACTGGAGAGGATCTTGGAACAGAAAAGGGGCTTTTAAAACACAGTGGAAAACTGATGAAATTCAAATATGAATTTAATATTAATAATATTGTACCAATGTTAATCTCTTAGTTCTTGTAATTATGCTCTGTTTATGTATGATGTTAACGTGAGGGGAAGCTGGGTGAGGGATATCAGGACACTATTTTTTTAAATTGTTTTATTGTTCAATTACAGTCATCTGCATTTTCCTCCCACCCACCCCCACCCCAGCCAAACCCGCCTCTTTCCCTTGCTTCTACCCCCCGCCCCCTTGGTTTTGTCCATGTGTCCTTTATAGTAGTTTCAGGACACTATTATATTTGCAACTTTTCTACAAGTCTAAAATACATTCTTTTTAAAAAAGGAATCCATTTTTGCTTATTATATTAGTAAGTAAAAGATGTGACCCAATATCTGGCAGGGAGCACAAGTTATGTAGTCAGATGTAGCTTGGAACCCCAGCTCTGATGACAGACACAGCCCACGCCAATCCTCTGCGCCTCCGTTTTCTTTGTCGGTGAAGGCAGGTGACAGTGCCTTGACCATAATAAAACTGTTAGGAGCAGCAGATGTGACTGCAAAGTGCCAGGTGCCACAGCTGGCATGGAGTAGGCAAGCAGCAGGTGGTTCTTCCCACAGGAGACATCAGTTCACCGCACAGTAGAGCTGACCTAGTGCCCCATGGAGATCACAATCCAAGGAGGAAAACAGCCAGGTCATTGTAACATTACTCGATTGCTTTCTCATGGTACTTACCTATCTGCCTTGCCTGACCCACGACAAAGCACTTGTAATTCTTCTGAGCTGATGAGGAAAAAAAGACCAACTACAGTTTAGCAGTGAACATCCTCATCTACCTTCGTTTTACACACTTTTATTCTATAGCTGGTGAATGCATTCCTAGAAGCGAGACTGCTGGCAAAGGAGTATGCCCGTTTTACATTGGAGTAGCTACTAGCGAATTGTTCATGTGCGCACAAGTGTGTTGAACTGCCTCTGACGTACAGAATCAGTGAGTTGCTGTCATGGGGAGACAGATCATGGTTAAAAATAGTGTTTTCTTGCCCTGGCTGGTGTAGCTTAGTGGATTGGTACTGGCCTGCAAACCAAAGGGTCGTTGGTTTGATTCCCAGTCTAGACACATGCCTGGGTCTTGGGCCAAGTCCCCAGTTGGGGGCACTCGAGAGGCAACCACACATCTATGTTTCTCTCCTTCTCTTTCTCCCTCCCTTTCTCTAAAAATAAATAAAATCTTTTTTTTAAAAAAACGGTGCTTTCTCATAGTTAAAAGTGACCCATACCAGATAAGACTGACTGGGTTGGAGTAGCAAGTTTTCAAAAATAGGTGTACCCTGGCTGGCGTAGCTCAGTGGATTGAGCGCGGTCTGGGAACCAAAGTGTCCCAGGTTCGATTCCCAGCCAGGGTACATTCCTGGGTTGCAGGCCATAACCCCCAGCAACCGCACATTGATATTTCTCTCTCTCTCTCTCTCTATCTCCCTCTCTTCCCTCTCTAAAAATAAATTAAAAAAATAAAATATTTAAAAAAAAAAACAAAAATAGGTGTAGCGGTCAGGATTCTGTAGAGGGCACTACAACATTGGATCTGAGATTAGAGAAGCTGACATCTAAGGACTCTCTGAAATTCGGCTTTGGGAAAACCTCAAATGTGGCTCATTTTCCTCCAGGGCCTTCCAAATACAACATGTTTTCCACATGAGTCTCAGCACCAAAGACTTTGCAGAAGCAGCCTTTGGCTCCTCCCCCAAAGCGGCCTGGCCCCGTCTTCCAGAGTTTCTGCTGAGTCCTAACCTCTGGGCTCTGCTTGCCTTTTACCTCAACGGCAGGTAGGCTGTACCATGTGCCCTCAGTGAAATGGCCTGCATGCTGACGTCTCACTCTAGGGGCTGTCCCAGGAGGTGAGTGAGGTCTTTACAATCAACAAAAACGTGTTCCCTTGCATCCAAAAGGGAGACGCAGCTGAAGGTGAGCAGAGCAGCCAGTGGCAAAGCTTGACAGTGGCTGGTGGGGGAGCCGGCTGCAGGTGTCCGGCTCTGGCTCTGAGGCTCTGAGGCTCTGAGGCTCTGGGGGACAGCTGGGCGGGCGGTGGAGCTGGGAAGCCCTCAGCACAGAAGTGGGTGAAACCAGAAGATGGGTGAGTTCACCGGAGTCAGGGAGAAGAAGCGGGACTCAAGGAGGAAACAGAGAAGGAACGGTCAAGGAAATAAGGAAACCAGGAGAGCGTGGTGCCAAGGAGTTTCTAGTAGGAAGAAGTGAGCAGCCACATCAAACACAGCAAGAAAGTTCCGATGACACAAGAGCTAAAAAATGGCTCAGTGGGAGCAAGGCCACGGTCACTGTGTCCCTAGGTCGATGTCACACAGCAGCAGCCGGAGGTCAGCCTCGTTGATTTAAGCGGCTCACCCTCTGGCCTTCTCTTGGGGACTCAGACATAGAAGTTCTCATGCCTTCCCATTTCCCCTTCAAAGTTTAAACTATTTTTTTATGGATTCCCGACGGACTCTGAAATTATGGAAACACCGTGGGTGTCGTTCCGTATTTTTCACTCAGCGCCCTTTCTGTTTGCTACCGTCACCTCCGAGTCAGCCCAGGCCAGTGAAACGGGAGGTCCCGGCACCCACCAGTGAAACGGAATCTCACCGTGGGGTTTGTCTCCCAGGGTTCGGGTCAATTTTTCCCTTCCACCTCTAGGCAAGTCCAGCGCCCTTCTCAGCATCAGCAGGTAATGTTGTAACTGGGACGGTGCCCCTGCCTTTGCCCCTTTGCCCAACTTTGGTCTGGGCCTGGCGGGGCACAGACTGATAAGTACCTGCTGTGTGCAAAGGATTTGATGGCGCTGTGTCTCGGCACACAGCTGTGTACAAGGAATGGGGGTGCCGTCCAGCACTGAGTCCTCGGTGAAGTGGGATGGCCAGGGGTTCCAAGCAGAGGGAAAGTGTGGTCACCGTTCTCCTCTGATGCAGGAGGCAAGGATAGTGTCTCAGTGCACCTGGACCGCTGTAACAAGTTCCACAGATAGCGTGACCCATTGGCAACCTGCACTTAATCCTCACAGTTCTGGAGGCTAAAGGACCAAGGTCAGGGTGCCAGCACGGTCCCATCCTGGGGAGAACGCTCTTCTGTAAGGGGCTAACTCCGTTCTTCAGAGCTCCATCCTCATGACCTAATCACACCCAAGGCTCCAGGCCCCCTAACACTGGCACCAGGAGGTTTGTGATTTCCACATGTGAATTTGGAGGGACACACATAAATATTCAGACCCTAGCAGGGGTGTGGGCAGAAACAATGAGGACGTAAAAGGGAGGGGGCATTCACCCAATGCCTCACTTGTTCTTGACCAAAGGACCCTAACCGGGGGCCCATGGGGCCCTCAGGGGTCTGTGGCTAGAATTCAGGGAGTTAGGGACTTATGGTGGGGCTAAATATTTGTGTCCTATTTTTGATGTAAATGGAAAGGATTTATCTAGCAAGCATTTGCACAGTATCTACTACTATGTGCCTGTCACAAGCCTAGATCCTTTAGAAACAGTAATTTATTTGGTCTTTGAAACAAGTCCATGAGGGAGATCACTGCTGGCATCCACCAAGTTCATCTTAAACAGCTTCTTCAGAATTCAGTCATTTTAGAGGGGCTTTCTAAAATGTTCTATGTTAGTTATAG